ATCTCTGGGTTGCCTTACAGATCCTCCTGGATCCTACACAGGTCTAGAATCTGAGTAACTAATTCCTTGCATTAAAACCCCTTTGTTTTGGATGCTCAGAGTGGGCGTATTCCTCTGGCTGGGCTCTGACTAATGTCGTTAGTAGAAGAATTATAAAGGAGTACAAACCCTTAAGGACAAATAAGATAGAGCCGGAAATCGCTGTGGCTGAGCAACACACTGTGTACAACAGAAATGGATGGAGGAAACAGATGGAGGAGGCGTTAGCAGAACAGAGAAGGCCACACCCAAGGTACCTGAGCAGGGAGACACCAGCAAAGGGCCTTGGGAGCACTTTGGAAAATCAGAAACCATGGATGGTATTAAATGGGACTGGAAAAAACATGAGTTTTTCTTGGAAGTGTATATATGTCTCCTTGCTCACTTCACTGAGCACCTTGATGTGCATCGATGTGCAGCTATAAAATTCCAATCACCACTTTCATTGGAAGTGACGGTCCCCCTACACACCCCATCTGTCTGTCTGTCTATCTGAGTCTCTCCTTCATTTAAGGATAAGAATCATATGGAATTTGGAGCCTTCCCCAGTTCAGTATAAACTGCACCATACCTAATTATATATCGGCAGAGACCTTATTTCCAAAGATCACCTTTTGAGATTCCATGAAGGACACAGACGGAAACATTATTGAAGCAGATGCAATTGGGAGAAGCATAATGTTTGGAAATGTGTGGATTTTCAAAGAAGCAGCTAAAAGACAAAGGTGTTTTTACATCTGGAAAGGGATGTGTAAGTGTATATGTTTCTTTGTATGAGACTGGGAATGGACAGCAATACCTGCAGCATATTAACCCATCAAAGGGGAGGACCATACTTCTACTGGTTGGCTAGGTGTGATCAGATGAGTAGTTCTGAACCAGAAGTCTCAGTGGATACAGCATGACACTATTGAGCTCTACACTTTCTGCCACATGGAGGGGAAAACACACAGAAGCAGAGTCTGTCAGCCTGAATGACTTCAGTGAGCACTGTGTGGAGTTAATGTCCTTAGAACAGTGACTCTGAGGTAGTATCTTGCTTATATCACAGTGTGAGCACCCAGTGAGAAGGTCTGTAAATGAGGAAACAGGCTTTTACCAGGTACCACATACGGAACCTGTGGGGAAAAGAAATTTGTAGGAGCCAGTTCCCATAACTGAAAGATTTCTTCTGATGACAAGGACCCAGTTTGTGGCATTTAATTACAGCAGCATACACGGACTATGGTATCTACTCACGTTAGATATGGGGGTGGGGGTGAGAAAAGGTTTCTTTGCTATAATCTCCCGAGATCCAGGCTTGCTACAACCTAATCTATCTTGACTGACATAAGAGAGTATCAATTGAATTTTATACAGTGCACTCTTACGGTTTTGATGAATCAAAAAGTGAATGAGACTTACTTAAGAAATAAGACACAAAACCCCCAGGCACTGGCTATTTCAGCACCGCTTTGCAATGGTGTGTCCTTGGGCAGTGAACACTGGGTTGCTACAGGCACTGGAGATAAGTGTGCATGTGCAAGCCCACATTGTTGTTTCCACGATTTTGCCGCTTTCCTTTGGTATTAAAGCTTGAAGTGTGGTATGCTGAATTAATCTCGAACTGAGGGTATAGCTTGCTTCACACGTTGTCTCGTGTGCTGGAAAAAGCTAAAATAAACAGGTTGGCTTCATGAAGTCTAGTCTTTTCTCTCTGACTTCTACTTGTGTCTAGTCCTTTCCTGGTGTAGGAGGGCCTTCTTTTTATGTGTTGTTTGTATTGGTTAGTGAATAAAGAAACTGCCTTGCCCTAGTTGATAGGGCAGAACTTAGTTGGGCAGGGAAGACAGAACTGAATGCTGGGAGAAAGAAGACTGAGTCAGGGAGAAGCTTGGCAGCCCTGCCAGAGACAGACATGCCAAAATGTTGCTGGTAAGCCACAGCCACATGACAATATACGGATTAATGGAGATGGGTTAGTTTAAGATATTATAGTTTGCTAGAAATACGCTTAAGCTATTGGCCAAATAGTATTGCAAATAATATAGTTTCTGTGTGGTTATTTCAGGTCTGAGCAACTAGGAACAAACAAGCGGCCTCCCTACAACAATGAATGCTTGGCCTTAGCTTATACTTGTCTCCCTAACTCTTATAACTTAATTTAACCTTTTTCTCTTCTATGTTTTGGCTTGAGGCTTTTTACCTTTCTTTTATTCTGTATCTGTTTTCCTGCTTCTGCTTCTTCTGTATCTGTCTGTCTGGTGGCCACTGACTGGCCCCAGGCATCTCCTTCTTTTTACTCCTCATTCTCTCTTCTCTTCCTTGAGTCTAGATTCCTCCTTCTACTTATTCTCTCTGGCTACAGCCCTGCCTATCCTCTACTGCCTCATTATTGGTCATTTAGCTTTTTATTAGACCAATCAGGTGTTTAGCTTTTTATTAGACCAATCAGGTGCCGTAGGCAGGCAAAAGCAAACAGCAACACATCTTTACATAATTAAACAAATTAAGCATAAACAAAAGCAACACACCTTTACATAGTTAAAGTAATATTTCACAACAGGCATATGACCAATCCCAATTAATGAATATTATTTTCATGGAAGTATTGCTATATAGCAAAGAATGTGAAGGTTATATACAAATAACTATACACATATACATATATACTTGTATATATGTATATAGTTACTTGTATATATGTATTTCAAGCAATGCAAGATTTAAATCCCATCTAAGGAAATGAGATGGCTTTTAAAGTTGGTGTTGATGAGATTCTTCACAGGGCCTCATATTGGGAGATTCATGAAAGCGTGGTTAGCCTGGAACCTGAGTGCTAGATAGCAAATATACACTTATTGAGAAGATGAACAAGGACTGTGGGAATGCCTGGGTGATTCTAATTTTAGCATCATGCTTTGTTTAAATTGTTCTTATTTTTCCTCTAAATTTATTCAAACATTAAAATATTGTGCTTTATAAAAAAGCAAATGTATTCCTCAGTCAGACTAACAGTAATATTCTGGCTTTTCATAGACTGTCAGAACAAACTAAGGACAGTAGAGTTTGCCTTCTCTTCCTGGAACCCTTAAGGAAATGGTCTAGAGGTCAATGTCTAGCATTTGAGTTAAAGCATGTGATTTTCTTCTTTTGTTTTATTTTAATGACTTGGAGCTGTTGAACATTTGTGTTCTGCTCTAATTCAAATGCTGGCACTGCAACTACCAATGTGGTGATATTTGACAGTGCACAATGAGAGGGGACAGGTTCACATGCAGTTCTAAGTGTTGACTCCACCTTGATGGAATTAGTGACTTTACAAGAAAACTAAGAGACTACAGAGCTTCTCTGAGTAGGAATACCACATTTGCAATCCCAGAAGAGGGCTTGCAATAAGAACGGAGCAAATCCCAACCTTGATTTTGAGCTTTTTAGCTTCCAAGACTGTAAGAAATAAATGTCTTTTGGTTAAGCTGTGGTATTTTACTATGCCAGCTTTGGGGTTCAGTCACAGTCACATCTTATTTCCAACTATAAACGTGTTGTTATTTGTATGTAAAAGTCGTTTTCCTTTGCTTTCATCAACTACCTACTAATTCTCCAGGGGCTGGCAAGATGGCTCAGTGGGGGAGGGTACCTGCCATTAAGGCGATGACCTGACTTTGATTCTTGGATCTCACATAGAAGAAAGAAAACCCAGTCCCATATATTGTCCTCTGAGTTCCACAAGTGAGTTATGGCATGCACCTGATACACACACATGCACACGCACACATACACACACACATATAAAGTTAAGAAAATTTGAATTTAGAGGACCCTTTAGATAAAATAAATACAATGGCCAAACTCATCAGTTTCTGAGTGAGGGATCAATGATTTGCTAAATTACAGAATTAGTATAGCAACACTTGCTAATAGCTTCCAACATAAGCTGGTGTTCTTAAGTTTTATATAATGCAAGTATATGCAAATATTCACTATACACTAAAAACTTCTAATTTCAAAAAATAAAGATGAATAATTTAGCCATAGATTAAACTTTTTAAGATGTGCTCTAATTTTTCTCAGGGAAGAAGAGCTTACTAGTTGGCTATCCAATACTAAATGGTCATTCTAAAAACATACACACAAGAAACATTATACAGCTCAAGAAAGTTGTATTTATGCATTCAGGAAAACACACACACACACACACACACACACACACGATTGAAGAAAAAGCCCATGAATTTGAAAGTTACCATGATGGAGTAGTGCATAGGGGACTTTGGAGGGGGGAAGTGAAGGGGAAAATGATAAAATTATATTATGAGCTCAAAAAATAGAAAGAAAACATTTTAAAGAAAAGACTCACCTCCCAAAATGCTCTACAGTGATCATATTAAACCTCACAGCCTTATTATTCTTTGGTTTTGCTGTTTTACTTTACTTTCATTCTTGATGGATAGATTTGACACATTGTTCTAGGTTTTCTCTTTCCTTATAAACAGAAGCATCTTCGTGGAAAGGAGGCATTTGCATTGGCAAAGTATTATAGGAATTAAATCTTTAACTGTCATTTAAAAAGCTCACCTGAAGTGAAAATTCTGACTACTAGGTAGCAATCTGTTATGTGCCATGCCAAATGAAAAGCTGCTGTCATAATTCACTAATTAATTTTTAGTTTTTACACCAATTTGATAAATTTACCTCATGTACCAGAACACCACAAATCATACCTTCCACTTGCCAAGTGATAGCGGTAAACACTGCACACCTTCAGACGACCTTTCTCCTAAGATGCTTCTCACTGCTCACATTTTATATGTCAAATGGTACTTTCTTTGAAAAGCAAATTTAAATGCCATTATAGGGAGAAGCTACCGGCCTGGGACAAGTTCTAGCATTTAGCGTTCTGACAGATCTTAACTTGGGCATCAGCCAAGGTCAATAAAACTTGTTCATGCAGAACCAACCTTACCTGGTTTTCACCACGTCGAGAGGTTGCATCAGGCAAATTTCTATAAGACCTGAAAGATGATAAAGAAAATGGCAATAAATTCATGGATACCTATTGATTCCCCAAATTTATAATTAAAATAAAGAATTGAGATGGAAGGGGAGTGGATCTGGAGGAGGGGGAGGTGGCAGGGAGCTAGAAGGAGGAAGAGAAAACTGAGATGAACTGTATGGGAGAAGAATCTGTTTTCAATAAATAACAACAACAATAATAATTTAGAACTTTTAAAGAACAGCTAGTAGTAGAAGTAGCCAACTACCCAATAATTACATTTCAGTGAGAGAAAGATGTGACTGAGTGTTCTCTTCTAACCGTGGTAGGGAGGTGAGGAGAAAAAAAAAAAAACCACAGTCAGATTAAATTACAACTAATTAAACAGAATTTCTGCATCCCACCCCAGCTTCAAATCAGGGTTAGTAGAAGGGAGAGAAGGGAGGAGTTTAAGTTCTTCCACTGGTACGGCTAAACTGCCTGTGCTGGACATTCACAATCTAGCAGTTTTCTCAGAAGAGAAAGCTTTTTTATTTATTAATCTCTCCCTGCAGCTTCATCTGTGAGAAGCTATGTCTTCTCCTAGTGGCTAATGGTTACAATCATGGGCTTTTAACAATCATGGCCTACCGAAGAAGAGAAAGAACAGGAAGCAAGGGCATCAGGGTGGCAAGGCACAGTAATGAGACCTCTGGGGTAAGCCTTTATTTTTCTTAGTAAAGTTGAACTAGACAGGAAACTACTGGTGCATCTTGCAATTTTCCCACACAACTATCCTTGCTTGAAAATTCACATTTATCTGGAAGAGTGAAGTAACCAGAATTCTTTTCCTGGTTCCTCTCAGGAACAGTCATTTATCCTTGGGGTTATATGTTTCCTATTCATAAATGGAAGGATTGAATGGTCTGGGATAAATTCAAGATTTAAAACTCTGGGTTCTCTTGTTCCTGCATTCAACTCACGTAGGTATGTATACATCCATACAACTTATAGTTCAAATTTAAGGTTTGTTAGTTAAGATAAAGCCATAATCTCATAAATAAAACTGACTCTGGAAACTCAACCTTTAAGAGAGCATAGTTAACTGGGTGGTGGTGCACACCTTTAATCCCAGCACTCAACAGGCAGAGGCAGGTGGATCTCTGTGAGTTCGAGGTCATCCTGGTCTACAAAGCGAATTCTAGGATAGGCAGGGTGGTTATAAAAACTCTGTCTCAAAAAAAATCAAAAACCAAAACAAACAAAACAAAATCAACTATTACCAAGCACAACCACAGTCATCAGTCAAGTGAGGTTCTATGAAGAAGACACTCGGGATTGCTTACCACAGCAAGTGCACAATTCTTCTCTCACTCTCTTGAAATTAGAGGAAAAGAAAAAAAATGCTAAATACAAAACAGCACCATATGGCATATCACTTAAAAAGTTTACTAAAAGAACCAACAACCCCAACCACTAATTAGAATTAATATCAGAACTGGGAAAATCAGTTTACATGAATGTAAAACCATTTTCTTATTTGCAAAATTGTTCTATTTTCCTGCAGCCCATATCTTATAATTTTGTAGTTAAGCTATTTTCTAATCTTCAGTTTTCATCAAACTTCCATGTGTTTATCCAGCAATTTCACATTGGTCGCCCCATGTGTGTCCAGCATTGAGGATAGAGCCCAGCAAAGAGAACAGATACTTAAGCATAGAGTTGAAGGTGATATGAAGTTGGCAAGAGATGAGCTGAAGTGTGTAGATTACAGTCAGGATCACTTCTAAGCATTCGTTCTTCATCCCATAGGCTACAAGGAGGCAGTAAACAGACTTTTAAAACTACCCTGTTGGATGTGCCTGTTATGTTGTCTCCAATGCATTCCATGTTCACTGAAGACATGCCAACAGATCTTTAGGAGGAGTGATAGGAACCCAAGGCTATGTGCTGTTATTGATGTAACCATGTGTACTTTTTATCTTGCTGCTACCAATCACATATTCGTAGGCCAGCAAGGAGCACTGATGTCCATCCATTTTTCCCTTCCGTTGTCAGTTTTCCAGCAAAGCGCCAGTTGTCATCAAAGCATAGACATCATGGTGTTCTACCTCTACGTATGTGAGGCGGTTCATCTCAACGTCAGTTTTACTAGGTTTAGAATTACCATAGAAATGTGGGTCTGGTTGTGTCTGTGAAAGTGTTTCCTGAAAGGTCAGACTAAGGAGGGGAAACTCATTTCTAATATGGACATCCCTGTTTTATAGGCTGGGACCCAGGATTTCACAAAAAGGAGAATGTGAGCTGAGCATTAGCGTTTACTTTTCTGTTTTAGACTGTGGATGCAGTGTGATCAGCTGACCATTCTCCTACCACCATGAGCTCAGCAAGATCACCTGCATCCCTTCTTAAACTGGAAGGCAAAACCAGCTCTCCCTTCCTAGTCTCGTAAGGTATTCTGACAAGGTATTTTGTAAAGTATTTGGGAAATATTATAGCTCATAGGAGTCAAGAAACTACCTACCAGTTTGTGACTTGGACAACAGAAAAAAATGTGACATACGTTGCCAAATGTAACATAGTTGGTCCATAATATCAGTTTGGTTATTATTTTTATTCTTAATCAAAACATAGTGCAACACAGTGCCACATAGTGAAACATAGTACAACATATTGCTACACCGTGACACATAGTGACACATAGTGCTAGAGAATCTTGAAAAAAGAAAGGAAGTAAGAGAACATAGATAAACATAAAAACCTTCATTTCTAATTGTAACTGTACGTAAGAATCCTAAAAAATGATTTATCACAACAAGCAAACAGGACTGGCTATTAGATGTCAGGAGGCAATAATTCTTTTTGCAGCCTAGACACAAAAACTGAGGACCAATGCAAATCCACACTGTAAAATTAGTTCATTATAACGGTTTTCAATATTCTGGCAGACCCACCACATCTTATTGGATATGACTACTTCTCTATGATTTAAATGGCATTCCAGTGTGTACGCAAAGATGTAGGCCTACCCTTTGTCCTAGTTAGCTCTCTGTTCCTCTGATAGTACGCTGACTGGAAGCAACTTTGGAGAAGAACGTGTTTATTTAGCTTATAGGTTAAAGTCCATCATTGGAGGAAGCCGAGGCAGGAACTTGGGGCAGGAGACTGAATGTAGGAACCGAAGCAGAGACCGTGGAGAAATGCTGCTTACTGGCTTGCTCCAGTTAGTTTCTCAGCTACCTGCTACAGTCCAGGACCAGCTGCCTATGAAGAGTACCTACCCATACTATGCCAAGCTCCTCTCCATCAATCGACAGTGAAGAAAATGCCCTGTGGTCATACCTACGGATAAATTTTTCAGTTGCGTTGCTCTCTTTCCAGGTGTGTCGAATTGGAAAGCAAGATCGGCGATCACATCTCTGAATCTGTAACTTGTATTCCCTACGATCAACGTTGCCTTCTTTGAATTTGCTCAATTATTGGCCTTCACCTGAGCCACGGTTACTGGGAAAAGGTTAACATCCTGCTGTAAATGCTTCTTCCAGCCTTCATCGTTTCTGAGAATCTCCTGGCCCTTTCAGCCACAGCCCCTCCGTGAACGTTTGCTATACTCCCCTTTCTTATAACCTAACTAAGCCTTTTCTCGTTACTAACACAACAGTCACACAATGATGAATCTTGGTTGGTTATAGAACAGTTTCCCTATGTTCAGGTCTTTGGCTCTTTCTTTTTAAATGCAACATAATTTCTTCCTTTAAGAATACACAAACTTCGAGAGGCTGCTTACATTCAGGTCTCAATTTGAATAAAAGTTTCCTCAGATATCTTGAGGACAAAGCTTCTTATTTCCTGGTATTCATTTCCTCTTCTAGGCCACCCAGAATAAATGAATGAATGAATGAATGGATGAATGAGGCATTTCCCAGTTTTCCTTGATGCTAGGCATCACCATGTGACTAAGGTTAGGCCAACAAGATATAAATAAAAGTGGCTTGAGCAACATCTGGGACAGATGTCTTGAAAGGAGACACCCCCCCATTGTTCTTCTCATGGTCCTTCATTCCTCCTGTAGAATATACACATGGGGCAGAGGCAGCCATCTTGTACCAGGTGATTTGGAGGTGTAGAATCCTACAGTAAAGGAAAAAACAACCCCAAAAGTTCTTCCTGACATTTTGGAGTCCTCATCTTATACCTCCTTGTTTGTTTTAGAGAAAAAAAGTTATTTTCTTTAAAATGAGGTGTGGCAGGTCTACTTCTGTCTGACACAGGAGACTCTTGATGAATCTGCAGTATTCTGAACTTGTACGACATTGTTGTCATCTGTATTCTTGCTGACGGCTACCTGCAGGTAGAGGATACATCTGTCTTCTTTATCTCCATCCTCATCACTTTGTACAATGGCAGGTACTCAGTAAGCTCAATAAATATTTGTTGAATAAATAAATTAATACTGATTGGGGTCTGGGCATATGTCATTATGTTTGTCAATCTTCAAATGGAACTGACAGCTCTTTATTATGTATTTATTTCATTAGCTTGAGCGTCATACAAATAAGCAGATAAGGATGAGGAAATTGTTGTAAAATGGTATGAAGTACAGGAAGTACCTGAATAGAGAATTACAATAGAGATCACATATCCAGATGCTCAGTTGCTATTTAAATGTAAGTAGGAAACAGGACAATCAGTGTCCAGTAAACCGACAAGTGACTGTTGAGAGCTGTGTGCGTAAAACATAATCTACGCAGTGGTAAATCCAGTCTGATACAGAAACAAGGGCGACCTTCAAAGGTCAACACAGAAGTGACATATTAAGGAAGACAACATGCATACAGCCATGTGTCAGTGATCGATGTCACTACTTATAAATAGTTCTAGGTTCTGCATCAATTGCCGTCTTTTATGGCTTCTTTACTTCAAATTGTTGACTCTTGTCAAAGATGTATGTTATTGCAATTGTAAACCTTGTAATAGAAAATATAAACAAAATTTTAACAATTTTAACTACTCTGTGGTATGTATACTCTTTGCATTTGG